GGAGTCTTGGTTGATCTCCACTCACTCTTTAGAGTAGGGGGTGATTTAGTCACATTACTAGATGAGACATTTCTCGGGAACAGTTCTGAGACGTGTATGTCCGGAAGTCAGGACAGTTGCTGTGTAACTAAGCATTTGATAAATGTTCACAGAGTGGACATCAAAACCACAAGGTTTAATAAGTCAAAATTTAGGGAAAGTACAAATTGTAATGAAATGTATAATGGGGAAGAAATTCTTTTTAGCTAAAACACAAAGGATGATTAACTGTGGGTATGAATCTAAGGGAGTGGGAAGGATAGATATTTCAGAAAGAGGAACCAGCGTGTGGCAGGGCCTGAAAGCAGGAGAGAGCCTGGCATTTTTGAAGAAGTATAATGAACTTAGCATAGCTGGAAAGGAATGGAAGATGGGATCCTGAGAAGAAAGTTGGTGAGGCCCTGAGAAGTGTTATTGGCCATAGGAGGAAGTTTGGGCTTGAGGACAGTCCAGCTGAGAAGTCATGTGAACAATTTGTACTTTAGAAAATCCCTGTCGGCCTAGGGTTTAGGGATTTGATTACAGAAGTTTGAGAGTGGGGGAAGGAGACTTTTGGCAGTAATCCTGAGGGGAATTGCTACAGGCTGACTTAAGGCAGTGATGGAGATAATGGAAGAAGTGTAGATATTTAATTACTATCAGAGAAATAAAATTTGTAAGCTTGGTATTTGGAGTCAAGGGAGAGCAGTTGGTAAAAATAATGCTCAGGTTTCTGACCTGGTTATTTCACTATGAAAGGGAAGACATCAGAGATGATAAATTGAGCCAGACCTGTTGAGCTATTCAAATGAAAGTGTCTAATACGCAACAGTAAGGATCTCAGCGAAGTTTGTGGCTTGAGATATATATTTGTTAATGAGCTGTTTCTCACAGATAGCAATGAAAGAGAAAGAGATACGAAAGGTATGCATTAAACTCTGAGGCTAACCCATCTTTATAGGCCTGGTAGAGAGGGATTCAGAAATGACTCTGAGAAGAGACAGGCGAGAGACAGGAGATACCGGGCTGGTGAGTGTCCCAAATCCAAGGGAAGAGAACACTCCACAAGGGTTGAGGGTGTTAGAAGGTCCAACCTGGAGAAGTCAAGTGAAAACAACACTGAAAAGTGTTCACAGGGTTTAGTAGCCTAAGTAGAGGTTATTGGTAACCTTGTGAGATTTTTATAGAAAACAATAAGCAAAGGTAATTAAGTTTTTTTTTCATTCAAGCCTGAAATTATGATTTTTAACCAAAAGGGTTTTTTATTTAAATAGCAGAGTTCTAGCATATAGTTTGATACTTTTTTTTTTCATGTTTTAAGTTAGAGCCTATTTTTCAGAAAGCATTAAACATCACATGGTTGTTTTTAAAAAGAGTACTTATTAAACTTTTTAGATGGAAATTAGTAAGTCATTTATTCATACAGTAAAAATAAAATCAGCCATGCATCAGGCTTTATCCTATTAATGCTCAGTGTAATTATAATATAAAAGATTACTAATGTCAATAGAAACTACAAGAGTAATAAAATTTAATGATAGTAATAACATTTAATAGTATTTTATACTTATATATTAATTTAAGCATGAGCAAAAGCATGTACTGTGACAAATGCTTTTGGAGGTACAGGAGGTAAATGCGATTAAGGAAAATAGTACTTTACACTCTTTGTGTTCAGCACTTTCAACAGCATAGTAAATCTTAGTATCCTGCATCTTTATCCTCTGCAAGCTAGTCCTGTGTACAGCCTTACACAGACACACATATTTAGAAGATAAAGCATATATATAT